CCTCATTGTCAAATAGAGTAATGATTAACAGGCTTTTGCTGACATTCAGTCACCTGAATCAGCTGTGTTGAAGCCGAGAAACATTGAATCGAGGACTAATGTTGCACTAAAGCTTGACAATGAGCTCATATTTCCTTCAGACGGGTTAAAGCGCGGCTGGATGTGAAAGCTGCAGGATGCAGAACCTTAATGACAAAAAAAATCTGAGACTACTGCGATTTAGCCAAGGTCAGCTAGTCTAATATAGTAGTTCTGAACCCTTGATCCACAAATCCCCCTGCTGTGCATGTTTTAGGTGTATCCAGCACACCTGAATCAAATGTTTGTAGACTTCCTCACCCCAAAATCACACATCCTCCGTGACCGCTCAGCTCCAGACTGCCTGCTCAAAGCAAAGCCTACAGTCTTCGCTATTCCTCCCGTCCTGCTCTGCTCAGACTTCCTCAGAGCTTGAGGAGAGCATACGCTATATTATTATTAAATTCATAGGAGCAAAACATGCAGAAATTAAAGCTTAATTTAATATGACATATTAAAAAAATCCCCATCAGCATTCAGCATATGTGCAGTTTCTGCCCAAATATGTTCTTTTTGTTGTGGATTTTTTTTTTTTTTTTATCAGTAATACAGTAACTAGGATCATATATGTCATTAAGAGCTGCAGAAGCCTGATAATTCACTTATCTATATAAGTCAGGTGTACAGCAGCAAGGAGAAACCTAAAAATATACAGAACAGGGAATCTTGAAGAACAGGGTTCAGTCTCACCTGTTCAAACCCCAATAACATTAAAATTTATCAAGTAACTGGAGCCACATATTAGGGATGGACCAAAATGAAAGTTTTTGGCTGACACAAAAAACAACAATGAGGAAACCAAGACCGAAAAACCAAAACACAGAAATTTATTTTGGAAAATATTAAAACCTCTGCATTTTTGGCCCCAAACAGTAATACGTACATTACCCATTACAGATAGCTAGGCTGACTTGTCTGTAGAGTGGCCATCTTGGGTCAGAATGAATAGTAGCAGAGTGAGTAGGAGGCACCACAAATCTAATTTCCATCACATGTAAGACAAGAAAACGATAATATTACAATAAGCACTTACATGTCACAACTCCTTGGAACACCGAAACAAATTTTATAATGACCTTTCAGTTAGATTACACATTTAAACAACAATGATTTAAACGGAAGTCAAACTGGATGAGATATATACATTCAATCATTGTATTAGTGCTTTGTATTTTTTTTTTTTTTTTTTTGTACAGCCATAGGTGGAACAAAAGCCTGGCATCCTAAGAGGTAGCTCTAGAAGTTTGCAAACTGTCAATACAAAATCAAAATTATATATGAATTAGAATATCACTTAAATCAATCAACTGATCCCATTTAGCCCCTAAAATGTATATGTTCTCAGTCAGCCAGTTTATCTGGAAATTGGTTGAATGTTCACATTCATAAAGTATAATTTGCCCCATTTGATGAGTATTGCCTCTGACTGCAGCGTAGTTTGACCCAAGATGGCCACTCTTTTGGTACTCCTCTAACCCCATGACCCAGGGTCTATCTATTCTTAGGATTTTTGGCTATGATGTGTGCTAAACCAAACTAAAATCAATGCATTTCAATAGATAATTTATGAAATTATAAAAATATTTAGATACCACTGACGTTTTTTCTTTATGCTCATTACCTTGGCTGAATCGCTGGGAAACCTTCATGCCTATTCAAACATGTCCACCACAGACGGAATGGCTTAAATTTTTGCCACTAACCTGAGTGTGCATTGAGGTTCAATGTTTAAACCGACACATCCTCACTCAAAATCTGCCTGCTCAACTCTGAAAAACTCTGCTCTGCCCCCTGTGCTATCTTGTTTCAGTCCTTTTCTTTGCTCGCTCGACAATGTCTTTGTGTACTGGCTGTGTTGTTTGCTTGTGATCCTTTTTATCCCGTGTTGGATTTGCTGATTGGCGCGTTATCACAAGTTTCAGCCATGTTGTTTCTGTGTTAAATGTCTATTGACGGAAAATTTCTGGCAGAAAATCTTTGGTTGACGAATTTTCGGTGCATTCCTACTACATATCAGTTTCGTTTATAATATATTAAGTGAGTAATATTTCTATTTACTTGATTTGTTAAAATAATAGGAACAGCAGATAAGAGACTGTAATTGTAGGGTATATACAGTAGTCATTCATTTTGCATTTAACCAAAAACCCCTTAAAAATATTTTTTGAACACAGCATATCAACTTAATAAACAATACTGTATACCCACTAGCAATCCAACCCGGTAATTTTGAGGCACAATTCCCTGCATGTCAACGTTTGTCTGCTAAAACAAAGCTTATTCATAAGGCATTAACAAGGCAGTAAATGAAATCAGGTGTGCTAAGAAATGTTAAAATGTTAAGGATAGTGCATCTTAAGGACCAGGGTTGAAAAAAAACCCCTGATCTAACCAACATGCTGTGTATAGTTGCTGCTGTACATAATTCTTCGTGTTATTATTAGGCAGGATAATTGACAAAAAACGGTGGCCTAGCTCTGTCCTGCAAATTGACTAAAAATTTTACAAGCTACTGGCCCTGCTGCCTGTTTTATGTTTTAAAGCATACCACATTTCCTCAGTTTTCAATTCACAAACATCTTTACATCAAGGCATTTTGAAATTGAAAACTAACAAACACAATAAAATACTCAACCCTAAAAGGAAATAAAAGAAAAACTTTTTTTCAGAAGAAGCAGATATCATTGAAAAATTTTATGAACATGTTAGAGTAATCTAAATTGTGTACTGATAACAGGCATTATTAAATAAATGGGGGATTTGAGCTGTTATTTCTTTTCATTTTATAATGTTCATTTGAAATACATGAATAAAAAACTTTATTCAAATGTTTTACTGAATATTATGCCCTGTTATAATAAAAGTCAGCCTCCTAAGGTTCTGGTAAATTTGAAAGTAAGATATTCAGTTTTAAGATCAAAGCTTTGCAAAGATGAAACTTCTAAAATGTACTTGCGACAATGACTAACAAGCTCCAGGCAAACAAGTTGGATTTCAGTTCTCAAAGGGGTTGTGCTTGGTATGCCTTCTTCATCTCATTTATTATCAAACTGTTTTAGATAGCCACAGTCCTTTGCTCAGGTGAAACTATGTGACAGAATAAATTTGAAAGCCCTGACAGTATTTTCCTGAGGCAGTTGCTAAGATACTAATGTTCTCCATGAATTGACTCATTATGTGAGGCAACCGTTTCATGAGGTAGAGTCAAGCTGTCTGCCTCTCTTGCAGAGAATTTTCTTCTGGGTATCATCTAACAAGAACTGTCAGAAGTATCAGGAAAGAGGCAGCCTCATGCAAGACTATAATTACCAAAGGGAAGCTCATAACTCAAATCAAAGGTGATCGGTCAACATTCCCAGAAACAACTTAATTTATGAAAGGCACTACACTAATTACCACCTCTAACGCCAGTCATTAAACACCTTTCAACCAGCCCACATGTAATCATCTTCCCGCGGCCTCCATCTGTGATGTCAGCATTAGTTGTGTGAACTTTTTTTATTGGAATTGAATAAAGTTCATGTGGCATTAAGTTGAACTTTTATTTCTCTGCGACGGGTAGATTTTTGCTGATAAAGATGCCACATTCTCCCTATATCTGAGGACAAGCACTCTTTTGGGGCCCTCATTACTTCTTCTCTATATTTCTCAAAGGTGATAATGGGGTTTAAATACAAGCTGTGGTCAGTGAGGAAAGACTGGCAAAAAGCACCTTGGTCAGGAGTTTTAGACTAATTTATCTTAATGGTAAATATATTAGTTACAGTAGCATGATGTACTACTTTAAACTGATTGGTTGTTGAAAATTGGTTACATTTGTGTTTTTACATGCAGACTCACAAAGATGCTTGTTGGTAATAGTATGACTTCTTTTTAAAAGCGTGATCAGAAAAAGACCTATGTAACAAAAAAAAGTAAGAATGAGGGAGATACATGCAGGTGATGTGCACCATGTAGTGCAACAGGTTTCCATGACAACTAGACCATCGACAGGTTTGCTGATAAGAGTTGTCATCGAGATAAATAAAACTTTCCACTTGTACTTTTTTCATTTTCACTGATAATGGGTTTAAAATATATCTCAGTATTTTGAGATGATGTATGTTGTTTGCATACAGTTAGGCTTTACTGAATGCAGGATGTTTGCATCTTAGAATAGTCCCTTTTTACTAAATGGAAATATATTAATTATTTTCAAATAAAGTAATTATAGATTAAGTACCATTGCATGTGTTTCAACTAGATTAGTCTTTTTTTATCTAAAACAAATAAAAATTTTTAAATATATAAATAACTTGGCTATGTATTGTTTTTCTGGAGGAACTAGTATAGCATATAAAATTATGCTGCACGTATACAGTGTGCACCGCTTATTTAAAACTATTAATGGGAAAAGAAAATAGGACTTTTTTATGTTTTATTTCCCTCTCTCTCAAAGTTCATCGCTTGTCTTAAACTCATCTTTATAACATTAAAGAACAAAAAAGGCTGGTGGCATATTTACCCCCAGTTTTTTAACTCATGTGGGAATATTTTGCTGCAGATATTTTCAGTGGTTCATCTGTTGGTACAGAAAATATGTTTGAAGTTTTGTTTACATTTCCTTAGAGACAATGCTGTGGGAGCAGAAATAATGACACGAAAAAACATTTAAAGTTTAAACTTGCTCACAGAAATTTGCATTAATAGTGGCTGGAAGGTCAGAGGCAGTTTTTAGAGGAGGCCAGTTTAGCAAAAAGTCAATCATGCATAAACTTCTGCATCTGATTAGATGTTCCTAGGATATTTTTTAATTACATGAAACTATTTTTATAAAAAAGAATGTTTGGCTAAGCATAAGTGCTCAAATAACAAAAGTAGTATTGTCGTTGCTTTCCTTCCAGACCAGTAAACACATTCTTTTTTTTTGTTTCTTTCTGAAGAACAACTTGAGGAGGATAAGTTGCACACTAACGGAGGTAATGTATTGTCACTTAAGCTCAAAAAAACACTCATTTTGGCTGTCCACTTTTAAGTCTTTTACTTCTTTTCATTATTTTTTTTAAGTGAAATGTGAGTTTCAATTATAGTCTCTCTGTGCTGTGACTCATGCAGATTAACCCTGCTCTGATTTTCTGCACTATTGTAACCCATTTTATCACTTCATCCATTTGTGCTAAATAGACTCTGCATTAAAATAGTTCAATACAGATTCTTTACTATTATAACATCTGAAAACTAAATACTCCATCTTAAAAGTTAACCCTCCGGTAACCAAACATGTCGCTTGCTCCATATCCTCCACCTGCTGCCTGGGCTGCTCAGAAATATTGCTTTTTCTGCTCCCATCAAGAGACATTCCAAACCAATGCTTTAGTTTCTTCTGCATTTAACCAAAGTTTAACACCAGTTTAGATTGTATCTCATTGAAGCTCATTGTATGTTTATGTGCAATGATGTTCACTCAAGTTATGTTTAAAGTATTTTACTTTTGTTATGACACTGTTTGACCTTTCGATAAACATCCTTACCTAGGATTACCAAAATGTCCTTTATTTATTTTCACATATTGTAATTGTATGTTATTAAAAAGTAACATCTGATCAAAATAATATTTTATAAAGTGCCATGTGAAAATATCTGCCCCCCTTTTTGTCCTTTTGCAACATTTCAGGCTTCAAACATGAAAATATAAAATTCTTTGTGAAGAATCAACAAGTGGGACACAATCATGAAGTGGAACGAAATTTATTGGATATTTCAAACTTTTTTAACCAAGAACAATATGAAAAATTAAGTGTGCAAAATTATTCAGCCCCCTCCCCCCCAAATAAATTTTTTTAATTAAAGTGGAAAAATACACTACAGGCTGATTCAACTTTGATGTAATGTCATTAAAGCAGGTCAAAATGAGGCCTCCATGTGCCTGTCTGACCTTCCAACAATACCTGGAAATGCTCCTGATGAGGTGGTGGATGGTGTCCTTAGGGATCTCTGACAAGACCTGGACTAAAGCATCAATCAACTCCTGGACAGTCTGTTGTACAATGTGACGTTAATGGATGGATAAAGACATGATGTCCCAGATGTGCTCAATCGGATTCGGGTTTGCGGAATGGACGGGGGGCCAGTCCATAGCTTCAAGGCCTTTATTTTGCAGAAACTGCTGACACACTCCAGCCACATGATGTCTAGCAATTTCCTGCATTAAAATGAACCCAGGGTCAACAGCACCAGCATATGGTCTCACAAGGGGTTTGAAGATCTCATCTCAGTACCTAATGGCAGTGATGCTGCCTTTGGCAAGCACATGGAGGGCTGTGTGGCCCTCTAAAGAAATGCCACCCCACACCATTACTGACACTCTGTCAAACTGGTTATGCTGAATGATATTGCAGGCAGCAGATCACTCTCCATGGTGCCTCAAGACTCTGTCACTTCTGTCACGTTTTTTAGCTGACAGATGCAGCAAACCGTCTTGCCACAACTTACATTGATGTGCCATCCTGGATGAGCTATACTACCTGAGCAACTTGTGTGGGTTGTAGAGTTCTTCTCATGCTGTTATGAGTGTGAAAGCACCACCAAATTTCAGAATTGACCAAAAACATCATACAGAAAGCACAGGTACAGAGAAGTAGTCTTTGGTCCCCACCTGCAACATCACTCCTTTATTAAATCTTACTTGCTTATTGTCAATAATTTCCACACGTTTCCTATTCCATTTGCACAACAGCATGTGAAATTGATTGTTAATCAGTGTTGTGTCCTAATTGGAAGTTTGATTTCACAGAAGGTTGATCTGATTGAAGTTATATTCTGTTGTTTTCGTGTTCCCTTCATGTTTTTTGGCAGTGTATTTATTAAATCAGTACGATCAATAAAATTCAGAATTATTTAGATGAATATATACATGACATAAAGCAAAATAAGACCATCACATAAGACCAAAACAGATTTAAAAATTTCACTCCAGTTACCCATTCTTATGCTGTTCCTTTTTCCAAATGAAAAACTACATTTAGTTATAATTAGAAAAAATGAAAAAAAGATAAACTGATTAGAATAACTTTGCATGGCAATGTACATCTACTGCCTTCAAATATAAAATTTACATTCACAACTACATGTTTTGCTATCTCTCTACGTTTAACAGGGAGTCAGGCAAAACAGGACTGGTCTATTCAGTGGCCCACCTCTGAATCTGGAAAGGAAAACACTCCAGTTTGCCAGCCAGAGGCCAGCCAGTGGATTCGTTTTCAGCTTTCCCAAAGTCCCAAAGTTCAGTCCAAGTACAACCAGCACATGTGCCACAGTCCACAAGCCCTGGCGCCCCCTTTCTACACTGATCGACTTACTGTTGACAACCCAGCCACAGGACTCTTCCCTTCCTTTGACTATGGTCACCGTTCCCTTCCACCGTCGCCTCGTCAGAGGCATTTTGGCCACACACCTCCTCGGACTCCTTTGGTGGTCAACACAATGACTCCACCAGGCACTCCCCCAATGAGACGAAGGAACAAAGTTAAGGCCCCTGGAACACCACCACCACCAAGCCGCAAGCTTATCTATCTCCTGCCTGGCTTCACTGCACTGCATCGGAGCAAATCCCATGAATTCCAGCTGGGGAACCGATTGGATGACTCACAGACGCCAAAGTAAGTTTTTGCTCTGCTGTTGATTATGATAAGTTAGAGATTTGAGAAATAAAATGCAAATTTTCTATGAGATTTATTTATTGTGTTAAAGATTTTGTCATTGCTATTTGGCCCAATCCTTATGAAGAATTCTTATTTTGCTTTTTTCAATCTGGTGTCTTAAACAAAATGTTTCAAGGTATCAGTAATCACTTGGATAAAAAAAAAAGATAACAAAATATATATTTATAATTTATAAATCAAAGATCTGATCCAAGTTTGTCGAAACAGGAATTGAACTTAAACTTTTCTTTTGGCATCGTGACCAGAACATAATCTTTAAACTGACCTCAATCAGATTAATTCTTAGGAGGATATGATCAGCCATAAAGGAGCTCTGGGCTGTTGGTAGAGATAAGGGGCTTAGTTCCTGCCTCACCACCCCTATGTCTGTTGCTATGCTGATCAAATTTGACCATAAACACGGTCCACTACTAGTGGGTAATCAGGAACCAGAGTCTGCCTCAGGAGAGCTACACTCATTTTGATAATGCCATTACCGTAGATGACAAAGTGTCATCCCCTGCTTTAGTTTGTGGGTTCGCGTTTCAGAGTGTCGCACATTTTTCGATGGCCACCTAGACTATATTTGTGTTATACCTGGTTGTTCATATGGCTTTACTGACATTTGTCCATGGCCCTCAGTGTGTATGTGCATCTGCAACCAGTGTATCATAGCTTCTGTGAATAGGCTCAAACGTCATTAGAGAATTGATTACCGGTCCCTGCGCGCTGATAGAGTGCAGGCGGCATGTTGCGCCTCTCTAATCAATGGCCTGTGTGTGCCTGGAAATGTTGCATCTTATTGCAAAAGGGCAGATCTGCTGGCTTCTCTGATAGCCAACTATCCCTGGTAATTTATCATAATTGGTTGGAGATTGTTGCTGGCAAGCGTCGCATTGGTTTTTCACTTCTGGCATGAGAAACTCATTTGATTTCTATCTGAATGTGAAAAGAACTGGCCTCATTGCAAAGCTGGCATCTGTTTTTTCACTTTTTAATTCAAAGGCATCATCAAGAGGAATGCTTGGTTATTTTCATACAAAAACAAATACTTTTCTAGAGAGCTATCAAATTAAGATAAGGAAAATAATATTTGAACATCCTCATTTTAGATTTTCTACATCCTGTAGTCACCTTATGGAATCTGGATTCTAATAAGCTCACACCACTCCTTCTGTCCTCATTTCCTTGGGCTTAATTGCTTGGCACTGTGACCAGGGCACCATCGTATGTATTACCCCCTGACCCTGAGAGACATCTTTCTCCCTTGTCTTAATGAGATTTGGTCTAATATCTCATTATTACTGCATAATATTCCACTTGTGAATGTGCAGAGCTGCTTAACATATGTTTTTGTGGGTGGAAAAAAAATCACTTGGCATTCTCCACTAACAGGTAAATGTCACTACGAAACCAATAGCGGCCTGTTTTTCTCCCTTTCTTCTTAAAAACACACAAGTATGTTCCAAAGTTTTGAGGCACTGGTGACAATATTGATTAATTAAGAATTCAAACGCTAATTAAATTAACTTTTTGATGTTAGAGTTCTGGTTCTGTTATGTTTTTCTTTTGGATGCTCAGTTTTGCTTTGCTTCCTTGCATTCTAGTTTTTTATGGTTTAATTCTTATTTTGTCATGTTCTTTGTTTTTTCTCAGTTACTGTCTTAGTCTTGGTTCTGTTATACTTTCTTTTTAGTGTTCAGTTTTGCTTTACTCCTTGTTTTCTGGTTTTAGTGGTTTTATTTTTATTTTGCTGTGTTCTCTGGTTAATTCTTAGTTACTGTTTCAGTCCTAGCTCTATTATGTTTTTCTTTTGAGTTTTCAGTTTTACTTTGCTCTGTGTTTTATAGTCTTAGTGGTTTAATTCTTATTTTCTTGTGTTTTCTAGTTGTGTTCAATTTTCTAGGTTTTTATTTGTTGCCCTCTGCTGCCTTCTTGTGTTCTCCTTTTTCCCTAGCACCTTTTCTGTTCTGCTCTGTGCACACCTGTTCCCAATCTGCTTGTTAGTCCTCTCTTTGTCTCAGTCTCCCTTAAATACCCTCTCTGTTTAGTTCTTCTTTGCTGGGTCCTTGTCAAACTTCCTCCAACTCCGTCTCTCTGAACCTTCCTCCTTGTGATTGTGATCCCCCTGATGTCTTCATGGTTTCTGGTTCGTCTTGACTCGTTTTGTTGTTTTGATTTTTGGACTCCTGGTATCATGTTAATTTGGGCTTTGTTTTCTTTTTGGATTTTTGGATAACCTGCTTCTGTTCTCAGTTATATCATCATTAAATCCACACGAAATTCCCCTCTGCTTACCTGCCTCTGCTTTTGGTACAATAAACCTTATCCAAATCTTGACAATTGATAAGAGGCAGCTATCCTGATGTCCAGGTAACAGCATTGCTAGCTTCTGATAATTGATTGATTGACTTTATCGATCTCACGGTGGAGAAATGTACTTTTTAATAAGTCGATTCACCTGATTTAAATGGGTTCCCCCTGTGGATATTATTTCAAAATAAAGCCCAAAAGACGCTGAGAGTGGTGGAATTTACTAAATAAATGGCGTCATTATTAAAGGAGCAATATGTTAATGTGTATGTTGTTAATGTGAAGCAACATTTACAAAAATCCTCCAGGAAGTTAAAATATAAGAGAAGCAGGGTTTGCAAATGGATAGTGATACTAAGCAAGCCTTAATATTTGATTCATATGTTTAGGATGGACAACACAAAGCCTCCATCCCAGTGTCTGGAAAGGCATGAGGCCAGAATATCTAAAATGCTTGACCAAGGTAAAACAGTAAAAAGATTAAACTACCAAATAATAATATGTTTTTTACATTCTCAAGAGGAAATATTTTTTTTGTCCTCACTGATACATATTTCAGACCATAAATTTTTCAAGCCTATTTAAACCCAGTTCCGACATACTGTGTATGTACAGTAAGTATCTGGTTTTATTAGAAAGAGGGCGTTTAAAAGGAAAGTGGGGGATATTTTGTTTGTTTGAGTTGTTCAAGGAAATAATTTAGACAAATTCATGTAAGAAATTTAGAACTTACTATATATAACAATGTTGGACTGATTCAGTAATACTTAAACATAATGACATTTGTGTCTCGTTTTTAGTTTATTTACTTTTTCATCTGAATGTGAAGGCATTAAAAGATGACATGAAAATCTGTTTATACACCATTAATGGTCCTTATTTAAGTTTTTTTACTTGGCAATATCTCCATGGTTTTGTTTACGAGCATCTTTATTTACATATTACTCATGTTTCTCTTTAATTAACTGGCCTTTAATTTTTGCATCCACTCTACAGACATCAGTTTTGGCCTTTTTTTGTCTATGATTTCTGTTTTAGTTCGCAAAGCTTAGACAAATGCGGTGGTCCGGTTGTCAGACCCCTTCTCTTCAGCGTTTTAGCTTCGTGATTTCTGGATTAATTTGTTTGTCTCTGAGGTAATCTGTTTTCCTTTCTGGTTCCGGCGAACCACAAAAAGGTATCAGCTTTCCCACCCTTCACCTCGCACCCCGGTAACACAGAATACAATAATGTATTCTGTGTTATTGAACCCAAGAAAGTTTCATTCTGAGATAAAATAGCTGCCAATTCTGAAAGTCATAACACAGAAGAGAGGAAAACTTTATTTTATGTTGGAATTAGAAAGTCTGGTTTGTTTTCCACCACCTGTCGAGCACAAATTTAAATTTATTCAGTTTTGTTTGAGTTAATTCACTTCTTTGTCTCCTGACAAACATAGTTTTGTTTTTCTCTCTGAATGCTCCTCTCTCTCTTTCTTTCAACTCTCCACATTTGCCATCTCCTGCTGTGTTCGTAGGGCAATTTTTGAGTGCTGTCAGCTTCATAAGTGATAGAGCAGAAGGCTTTATAGAAAATTAAATGAGGTTGTAATTGAAAGATTAGCAGATATTGTCACAAAGATGCTCAATTAAAATTAAAACAGTACTTAGTGAGAACAATTAAAGATGATTGCAGCTTTTCAAATGGGATACTCATGTTCCTTGTTTTTTTTCAACAGTAATGCAAATTATGTATCACATAAAGATAAAAATAATGAGTAGTTTCAAAATTATTAACATGCTGTCTATTGGGTTACTTAATTTTGTTATCTCTGCTGTATTAAGCATACAGTGATGAAAACTTATTTTGCCTCTGCAGTTAATTCTGTACAATACATTTTAAAACTTACAAAGAACAATTCTGTTTAATTTTATTGAGTAGAGGGAGGATATAGGCCCCTATCTTTAAAAAAACTCCTAATCTTGGAGAGGTTTGCATGTATAAAAACAAAAAACGAGCCATCTTGTTGATCTAATAACAGGCTGTAAATCAAATCGCAGGTGTAAAATGAACCAGAAGGCACAATTAATTTTGTTTTGTGGTTGCCTTAGTGAAGTTGCATCATGTATATGGTTATGAACAATACTTCAAGGAGGTTATGAAAATGTAAACGCTGTCTTATATATATAATTTTATAAACATCTTAAATATTTTGGTCAGATGACATTTTTAAGATATATTCAGCTCTTTTAGGATATAATAATGGCATCATTAAAACATCACTTAGTTGTAGCAGCTGCAATCTTGACTGTTATGGTTACTGAAAAGCACTGTTGCATCATAGGACCGACTCTTGTATTGGTCCGGTCTATTTTAGCCTGTACGATATGGTCATTCATTGCTCTTAGCTACAGCTCAAACTGTACGACAAAACCTGAGGGTTTAAAAGATCATAGACCCAATGCTCTGATGTGATCCGACTGCTCATACCCTATGACCAAAAACACACATTGGACTCCTCATAGTGAGATGGGACTGCTCAAACTCACCTAGTTTGCACATGCACAAGATGTAAGGTCGAGGTAAATCGGTTCATAGCTTTGCTTCAATAGGAGGATACAGTTCAATTCAACTAAGGAGGGCTGACATGTTTGACTTTCATCTGA